GACATTCTATGATAAAAATCTTTCGAGAATCGACCATATGATTATGGAAACAACATAATTTCACGCACTGTTACAATTTCGCTTCTTTCCATTGTTGCATTTTCAATGTTTTGCGTTACGTTTAACAAGCGCTTTAGCACATTAGAAGAAACAGTTTGTAAATTGTGATAACATGTGTTTTTAACGAAATGTTGATATCATTAAAAAAACGAAAAGATCAACAAGGCAAAGGCAACGTTCACAGGACGCAGCCCCCGACACACCGAAGCATGACACCCAGAATGCACCAAATCAAACCACTGTAATTTCAATTATTGATTAACTTACTGGTTAAGTTTGACGCCATTATTCCATATACTGTGGTATGTCGGACCGTATTTGGTACAAAAACGAATATGGTACAAATTTGTACCATATTCGGCCGAATATGGTACAACTGTCTAATTGTACCATATACGTATCTGCAGTTTTGGGGTAAAATGCCTGACCAAATATGGTACAAACTTGTACCATATTCGGATGAAAAATGTACCACATTCGTTCCGAATATGGTACACACTCATCATCGTCATCATCATCATCATCATCATCATCGTTATCTCATCATCATCACCATCATCATAACTACAATTTGCATCAACGTCATCAATACCATCATGAAAATAATCATCATCGTCATCTCATCATCATCATCATCATCATCATCATCATCATCATCATCATCATCATCATCATCATCATCATCATCATCATCGTCATCGTCATCATCATCATCGTCATCATCATCATCATCATCATCATCATTACTACAATTTGCATCAACGTCATCAATACCATCATGAAAATAATCATCATCGTCATCATCATCATCATCATCATCATCATCATCATCAGCATCAGCATCATCATCATCATCATCATAATCATCATCATCGGCGGCCGGTAATCATTGGCGTCAACATAATAAAAAACTTTTTTTATCATCATCATTATAATCATTATCATCGGCCGATAAACATCGCAGTTATCATCATCACAATCATCAAACCCCAATCATCATCACCATTGTCATCATCATCAATTAAATCATCATCGTCACCATTAACACCATCATCATCATCGTCACCATTAACGCCATTATCATCATCATCGTCATGATGATGACAAAAGTTTTGATGATGATGACGACGATCAAAATTACCGTCATCATCATCATCACAAACTTTTATCATCATTGTCATCATCATCACCATCATTATCACCACAATCATCAAGGTCATCATCATCATCAACACCATCATCATCATCACCATTATCATCATCGTAATGAAGATCACAAAAATGTGATGATGATAACTGCGATGTTTTTCGGTCGATGGTGATGATGATGACAAAAGTTTTGTAATGATGATAACGACGGTCAGCACATCATCATCATCATAATCTACCGATAAAAATCGCCGTCAGCATCATCAAAACACATTTGTCATCATAATCATCATCATTATAATAATCATCATCGACCGATAAACATCGCTGTCATAATCATCAAAATACGTTTGTTATCATCATCATCATCATCATCATCACATCAATTATCAACACCCCAATGATCATCATCGTTGTTATCTTCACCAACACCACCATCATCATCACCATCAAAACCAACATCATCATATCCATTATCATGATCGTTATGGTGATCACAAAAGTTTTTTTTTGTGATGATAATGACAGCGATGTTTTCGGTCGATAATGAGGATGTTGTGATGATGATGACGACGATGAGAATATCATCATCATCATCGGCCAATAAACATCGCCATCATCATCATCACAAATATTTTGTTATCATCATCATCATTATCATCATCGTCGGCCGATAAACATCGCCGTCATCATCATCTAAAATCTTATCATCATCATTATAACCATCATCATCGTCCGATAAACATCGCTGTCATCATCATCCCAAAACGTTTGTTATCATCATCATCATCATGATTATCATCATCATCATCACCACAATCATCATAGTGTGCAAGCTGGAGGAGTTTTATGCACATTTAACCCTATAGGTTTAATAATTGTTTCTTTCTGTACGTGTTATATTTTGAAAATATAATTCGCTATAAACGAGACCATTTTCGGTGCTTGCTATGACTAGTACAGTATTTATGCAATTATATGGCAAAATCATGGGTTGTAGAACATTTTAAATTGACTGAATATCAGCGTAAAAAGAAGTCGCAGGGAGTGCTTTACGTTGAATGCTTTAGTGCTGTGCAAATTCGTACATTTATTTAAAAATATGAGGTTTTGATTCGAACCTTGCCACAAGATCTAGAGGGGACTGGTAATAAACCCAGTAAATAAAAGACTGTTTCATCTAAAACTCATACTGTGCTATTTCAGTCTTTAAATCAAATGGTTTTGGGTTTGATAGTTCATTATATTAAAGCTAACAACTCCTGTTCCAGAAAATAACCAACACTCTAACGCACACATCTGCTTACCAACCAAAAAAGATTGAATATCCAATATTTCAAATTCAAATAATTGACACATACAATGTATTTCTATTTTCAAAATTTACTTTCCCTTAACCCATTACTTCATATACACGCCTTTTAACGCCTTTTTCACCCCCCCCCCCCCCCACCCTTTTGTTGTCTCAAATGATGAAAAAAATGCCTTATTTAGGCCCCAAACACTTGTTTTTGTTTGAGAAATGTTGTTAAAAAAAAGTGACCTCTTTTTCGGCGCGGCCCCCCAACCAAAAGATACATCAGGGGGTTGCCAGAAGGGGGATGTGCCCCCTTCTGTTTGGGGGGTTTGAAGGGGGGCGGAGTCCCTCTCATCGCCAAGAAAATTTTGGACTTGTGAGAGGCTGTAAATGACCCCAGATTGATCATAAGGTAACGTGTAACCAACGCTGAAAAGCATTTGACTCTATCTCAATCCATTGAGAAGTTGCAGCACTTTGAAATCAATTTTGATGGAAAAAATCAACGCAAAATAGTGATTTTTGGCAATTTTGAGATGTCCCCTCGTTGCCATGGTAACAGAAAATTTAAGCCTGAGCATGTTGTTGCAAGGGCAATGGTCCAGTCAACATTTGTGCCAAGTTTGATTAGTGTTGAAGCAGTTTTTATAGTATTATAGCAATTTGAACTTGTAACGGGAGACTTTTCAATGAAAACAGCCATTTTTCACAAAATGCTCATGAAGTAATGGGTTAATCAAGACAACATATTATAGATTCAAAACTTAAACTAAAATTATTAAGTTTTGTTTTATTTTTAGAATGTTTACATGAACGCTTTAAAAACGTTCTTTACAATTCTCTTCAATATTGAGTAAAAAATCGGACCAATTTTTTCGTATTCAAATAAAAAAAAGTTTAGGGTCGGGCGAAAAAAATAGGTAGGGTCGGGTCACCGGAACCAGACAATTTTTTTCTTTTCGCCTAATGTTTAGGAATACAGTCACACCTGTCTAAAGCAGCCAGTCAAACATCCTTATTTTTGGAGAGATATATTCATTTAAAAGAGCTCAAAATCTCTTAAATCGGATTTTGGTGAAAATACACTTTCGAAAAAAAAAAGTTTTAAAAATTTGAAAATTGCTATTAATGATCTTGTGAATTGTTTGGGTCAATCTAAAACTACTGACCAAAGGATATTGAATTATATCGAAGAAATTCTATCGTAAAACAACTGCAAATGCATGAAATATGAATTTCGTTAGTTATTTTTTCGGCCCAATTTCTTGTTTATTTTTCGGATTTTCTCATGCAATATCTTCTTGTCAGAAGTTTTAGATTGACCCAAACAATGCACGAAATCATTAATATGGCTGACGCGACGTCATTCGACCAATCGAATGCGACGTCGACATTCCTGCAACGACGTTTGCTTAAAGCAATCATATCTGGACAAAACCTACCAATTATTATTAAAATGTATTAAAATATAAGCATTAATACCGAGGGGTATTAAACGATCAAATTTTCCAAGAAGCGCTGGCGCGCTTCATGGATTTGCTCGCCTACCTTTACCCTTACAAGTTCACACTCTATGAACATAACCAAAATGCGATAATCCTCAAACTTTTACAGAGTTACCTGGAGCAAGCACGTCTCTAGTCTTAGAGTACTAGTACTTAGTAACCAGTACTAAGCAGATACATTCGCCAGTAATTGACAACTGCCCTACTTGAAACAGCGGTAGGGGAAGAATGGCTGTAGAAATCATTTCGTGACCAATCTCCACGAAAGTATCTGGCCCGCCCGGGAATCGAACCCAGGCCGCCTGCGTGCCAATCTGACGCGCAACCGACTGAGCTAGCCGGCGAAACAGTTACACAACCAGCAAAATCCATGTAAAGTGTGGTTAGGTTAGCTGTTTCTGTTACTGCTAGTTACGACGACGACGACGACGACGACGACGACGACGACGACGACGACGACGACGACGACGACGACGACGACGACGACGACGACGACGACGACGACGACACTTTTGTCACTTCCAATGTTAGGTTAATACAATGTATTTGAGTTTGAAAAAAAGTTTACACATCGGCAGACTATTTCATTTATTAAGAAATACATAATTTATGTACCATATACGTAGGCCATTTTCATTTTATGAGTTTTTTTGGTATGTACCAAATACGTTTTGGCGAGCATAGAAAAACTTATTCCAACCGAATATGGTACAATGTTTGTACCATATTCGGTCGAAAATTGTACCATATTCGGTCCGAATATGGTACATTTGTACCATATTCGACCGAATATGGTACATTTGTACCATATTCGTTTTTGTACCAAATACGGTCCAACAGTGGTATATGGCTTACCATAATATACCTTCACAAGTGTATGCGAAAGACAAAATTCAATGCAACAATGCAAAAACACGACAATGCGAAGGGAAAAAAACATTCGAAAATGCAAAGATACGAGAAATAACAAGCAAAACACATTTCATATCTTGTTTTTAGTCTAGTTTTTTGTTAAACGTTTGTCTTTTCACTTCTGTTTACTATTGATTTTTTTTGACAAAAAATAGCGATGTAGTGATGGTGTTAATCAGCCACCATGATTATTTTACTTATTCATCTCAAGAAATAAACAGAACATTTTCTAGTAAACAGCATTGACTCAAAATCAAATATGTTAATAACCTTCTATACTTTAAAATGTTTTTTTCTTTTATTTTTTTTTTATTGAAAGACCATTCATTTAGGGCGCCATTAATCTATCACTGTCTTTAAAGCAATTTTATGTTGTCTGCGCGCCATGCTGTATCAATATCTCTTCTAACATATTCCATTTCTCCTGAAAAATAAATAAGTCACACAAATTAAACAATCACACAAGAGCATATTTGATTTTTAATTTCTGAGCTGCAGTTTTTATTTTTTACTTAATATTAGTGACATAGGAATGACGAAAAAGTAATTGAAAGGTCTTTTAGTAATGTAATTATATTAACTCCTAAATGTAATAGAAGGATAGATCTGATAATCAAAATATGTAATAGATCTGTATAACGCTATATGTAATGAACATTTTTTTCTAAAATTTATGAAAGATTTTATAAGCTTATTATTGGTTCTCGAAAGGGTTGTTATAAATAGTGTCTCTGTTATTTAACATCCATGAATATTGTACATAGCAAGAATAAATATTCCAGACGAAATATCATAATGCTATTTTTAAATAAGGGACTTGATACAGCAATGATTTGACACATGCGCGATTCACCGCATACATGTCTTTTATACACGTATATTGAAAGTATTCTTTCCAAAGTTTAAACAATAACTTTATGCTCAATATACAAGAGACATAGCTTCAAACACTTTAAAGGGTAAATACGGTAATCAATTTTTTCAAAGTTTTATAACAAGTTTAACAAGTTTATTTATCTTTTCCCAGAAGGTCAAAGACCCATGTGGTACAATATGCAAAATATATATAATATGGCAAACGTGCATCAATATTAAGTTGACATATGATCCCATACACGCATTACAGTAGCACATTTTACATAGGAAATGAAAACATATATGCACCTTTTACATGACGTACATGTTTATAATAATTAATATTTTCGTCGTATGTGTCAAAAGTTTATATGCAACATAAGATTTAAAAGAATAATAAAGTGTGACAAAATCCAATTGAACTGACTTCATTTAGATTAGATTTATCACTAGTGAAGTAGATAATTTGACAGATTAAAATCTTTCTCAATTGAATACTGAATTTAAATCATGTTGATAACGAAAGTGTGAATTTTACATACATATTTACAGACTGCATACACCATTTTGACAATAGTAATATTTAAAGCATTTATTTAACAATTTGATTGTGCACGGGAGATAATTGCTATGGTCTTATCGCTCGACCTGTATATCGAGTTATGACACATCCACCGCACTAAAGCTTTACATAGAATATAATTTTTTAACATAATGAACTGCAGTTATCTAATAAAATGGAACAAATCTGTATATAAATGTGTATTGTCCAAACAATTTGGGTTACTGAAAGCGAACTTTACATATTGTGCGATTTTTTTGGGAGATAATCAATATAGTCATATCGACTGACCTAAATATATCAAGTTGTGGAACGTTTAATGTACAGTATAGTAATAGACACCGCTATACCGATATGATGGAACATAATATATTTCTTAACTTGACTAACTGTGATATGCTAATGCAATGGATTAAACTGCTATATTTATGTGCTTGTCCAAACAAATGTATATGGCGTTACTGAACCAAATTTCACATTTTTAAAGGTACCACTTTGTTGAAAAAAAATATGAAAATGTATATAACCTTCAGCTGATTCAAGTACTTTGTTGGGTATTTCCCCTGGCACTCCAGTTCGTTTCCAAAAGCTCTCTGCATGATTTCAAACGAATCATTTTGAAGTAATACTTCTTTAATTGCTGATTCCATTCCCTTTGTTTGTTGAGGATAATTATGTAAATAAAAGATAAGTGTATGTTACCAAGTAAAGTCGCAATCGCCATTGCTGTATTATATACATGTATTGCACTTCATATACTTAAGAGCTTACTATTTAACAGTTAAACAATGAATTGATTTGCCACAATGATTTATATATTAGCCTATCCTCTTTATACTTGCAGGATAGGCTTAATGAAATAATTTCATGATATCGTACATTTAATATAGTATTTGATGAAATTAATTTTCGAACAGACTGGGTATAAAAATAGGCATACAAGTAATCGAAATTCATCACTAAAGATGTATTATTCTCAAATCTGATATTTAGAAACATTGATATTTTCTACACACTCTTTTAGTATAATGTAAAATAAACATGTTTTTGAGTACACACAGCGTATATATATTTGGAGTTTTAAACTCTAAACATTATAGGTAGATACAGTATAAATATACAGTGTCATTAAAAAAACTGCCAGGTTTTTTTTAAAGAAATTACCAACTTAACTTGACCCGTAGTAGGTAATGCAGCTTCCCATACACAATTTGTGCTTTCCCTAATTCAGATTAGGCATATTTATATGGTAAGAATATTCTTGATTTAAACAGATTTATGCAATAGAAATATTTTAATAAATGATGAGCATAGTACATCTTTAAAGATAATTAATTATTAAGATAGAGTATAAAGGAATCCCTAATAAAGAACGCACAAAACGGTTTGATTGAGCCTGTTCGTGGACGGTAAGCCGGAATGAAAACAGCGAAAACAGTTATACAGGTAATATAACTGAACTCAACCACTGATACAATCTGAAGCGTTCAATATTGTCTAGAAGCTACTAAGATGATTCATGTACTTTTTAAAACTGCTTCATGATTGTCCCTTGAATTTGAGTGTAAAAAGGAAAGGTGTTAGTCCATATCTACTATACCCTCATCATTAAACTTGGAATATAATAAAATACTTACCTGGAAAGCTTGAAGAAGTTGATCAATGAGATTGATTGTTGGGAGAAGGAAAGTTGTGACCTGCTGTAATACAACAGCGGCATCAGCCATGCATTCTGTATGATAATTATATCAAATATTGTTAACCAATCACCTGATTAATTTGTGTGATTTATTTGAATAATCCATTTAAAGGCACATTAAACTCGGAAACAAATCAATTTTCACTTCTTCCAAAAAGGCAAACATGAAGGTTACTAGTATATCATTTATATACTAGTTTATGAGCATGTAAGATGTTTGTTACCGTAAGAAAATTCCGCTAAATGAGAAATTAGTTGTTATCAATGGAGCAAAATGTAAACAAAGTAGCGTTTTGAATTCCAAACAAAGTGCTTAAACACTATAACTGTACTTATTAAAAAACGAAGCAGAAGAAAAAGGAGGTTCAGGTAATTTGCCAGTACCTAACTTTTTGGGATCTACATTACTATAAAATCTTTTAAAAAGTACCCCAACAAATATTGCTGGGGCATAATGGGCCTTTAAATTTTTAAGTTCGAAAAACAGAATAGAGCTAGCAACAGTATGAGTATAGTGCCTGGGTTCAGAATTTACGGAAGTTGTTAGGCTTTATACTGATGACAAAGGCTAATTACTTCCGGTTCTGACAGGTAAAGGGTTAAAATTTTATACCTTATTAGATGAAAATATAAACAAATTTACGTTTGAACATTGTTATACCGTTAAAAAAATAAATTAATAAAACGCGTTAAGATCAAAGTACTGTACTATTAAAGCGTAGACGAAATCGTTTTATTTCAGACAAGTTGCCAATTTATATATTTCTATCAAACACATCGGATTTTTTTATCAGTTTTCCGGCTTTTATAACAGAAGCTACATATAAAGTAGATATAAATACAGGATAACTATCAGCAGAAAAACGTCGAAATTGACTAGCGAAAATATCTTTTATTATAACAACATATAAAACACTTACTAGTTTTGGATTGTACCGAATCTATTTCTCTTTGAAGTTTAGCTCTCCTCTTCATCAAATCTGATTTATGTGATTTCAGCTCATCAACTTTTTCTTTCTTTCTGTCTGCATCTTGACGTAAACTCTCTGAAGACTTTTCATATTCACTTGCCTGTGGTAAGTTTACTGCGGCACTGATCCCTGTTGCAGCCGTCGCTAACGCCAAACTCGCTCCACCTATACGATAATAATACTAGGGATGTCCGAAAAGTTCACATACTAGTATCATTATTTATCACATAAACTGTGGCGCGGGAGTGTAATAAAGCCATTTAATAAAAGCGATATATCATTTGTGTAATAACACTTTGACGTGACGTCATTTGCGTTATATAACGTTTCAAACATAACATTAAAGCGCGCTAATGCTAGCGTTATACAAGAGACGCGTCAATGGAAAATCACTCTTTTTAACAGTTTACCGTTCTTATTTTAATATAATGTGATAAACAGAATATGATATTCGTGCCGATTCATTATTATATCTATTGAACTCGGTGACTAAAGCAATATTATGCTCGCCAGAGGCTCGCAATTGTGATTTTATTCGTCCAATAAATTTAGTATTAAACCTAGTACACTTTCCTGACAATTTTGCCTACCGTCGCACGTCAAAATATGGATGATATTCGTCTACAAATCTTGGTCTTTTTAAAAATATGCAATTAACTGCCAATCGCTGACGGGTGTATTTAATTTAGTTCATTTAAACTTTTGATTTCATACATCAACGTGTTATAGCAATACGCACTTGCAATGAAAATGTAAACACACAAAAAATGCGTAATTATGTTCAGAACAATTGAATATAATACAGTTAATCTTTGAATTCTTATCAAATGAGACAAACAAAATGAAAAGAAGGCAACAGGGAAGTACGATTTGAATATGTATGGTTTAGAAATGGAAAGAGCGTTTGTCAAAAGATGTAACGAGATTTGGAGGCGATTTTAGAGCTGGACGATCAGAACTATACTTCATAACGGAATTGTGACCAAGTGAATGACGTCGGAAAGTGTGTTACGAATCATAAAGATTAGGGAACAGAAAAAGTTATTCACAGATAATATTGACAAACTTTAATGAAATAAGAACGATTGCAACAGCTTTTGACCAGGAGCGAAATAAAAAAATAAGAGCACCGCTAGGCGGAACATTATATGCCCGAAAGTGTTTTTTTTTTTTAGTAAAGATGAAGCATTTGTAAGACATGGGAATTTAATAAAGTATTATCTCCTACAAATAGCAATCCTCCTATGAAGTTTGAATATTGTCGGCCAAATGGAACTTATGTTATGCGCCTGAAACTGTTTTCAGTTTTAAGGTAATAGTGACATTGTAACCCCAAAATCAATAGGAGTGTTTAGCTCAAATGGACAATCATCCTATGAAGTTTGAACACTGTGAGCCAATTGAAACATTAGTTATGATCCGGAAACTGTTTTCAATTTTAAGGTTATAGTGACCTCGACCTTTGACATTGTGACCTCAAAATCAACAGGGGTCTTCAACCTAGTATGGACAATAATCCTATGAAGTTTGAATATTGTGGGCCAAAGGGAACTTCAGTTATGCTCCGGTAACTGTTTTTAGTTTTAAAATAATATTGACCTTGACGTTTGACTTTGTGACCCCAAAATTGATAGGGGTATTTTACCTAATATGGACAATCATCCTATGAAGTTTGAACACTGTGGGCTAAATGGATCTTTAGTTATGCTCTGAAAATTGTTTTCAGTTTTAAGGTAATAGTGACCTTAACCTATGACCTTGTGACCCCAAAATAAATTAGTGTCTTCTACCTTATTCGAATAATCAGGGTCTAATCGAACTTAAGTTATGCTCCGGAAACCAAATTGCTAACGGAGGGACGGGCAGACGTACAGACAGATGGACGGACGCCAGGGGGTATAACATAATATGCCCGAAATTCTTTCGGGCATATAACAAAAATACAGCCTACATGTCGATTAAGATTTTTTATGTAATCACATTGTCGTCGAAATCACAATGTTCGCCGCTAACTCTATACAGTATTGTTTCAAAAATCTGTTATTTGTAAATCCATATCATTAAATGCATGAAATATTGCATGTAAAGTGGAAATATATTGTATATATAGATATGTATAGATTTAAAATCTCTATGACGATTTGTTTTTATTTATATAAGTATTTTTATATAAGTATTATGTTTACTTTTAAGGAAAAACCTGGAATACTAGTAGTGTGTAGAAAACAGAGTTAGCTATAAAAGCAATGAGCAAAAACCTTTGAGAAGTCTGAAAGAGTAAGCAGAGTCAAAAGTACACAAATAAACATTTTATTATCCCATATGAAAAGCATAAGATATTTGTTCCGTTCTGCATTATTTGTAGATAGATATTACTACAGAAATGCCTCTTAAATTATATTCTAAGATAGGTCATACCTGTAAAAGGAGCTAGAGCAAGTCCAACAATTCCCCCAACCAAACCTGTTGTTTCTACGTTCTTTCTTTTCTCCTTTGCTTTTTTCTTCACTTTGTCTGCTTTATCCCACAGGTCCACTGCCTTGATATTTAACGCCGATGCGTCATCTTCTAACTGTGTTATAATAACCTCGGTACTGTCTATTTCCTCCCACATGTTTGTTATTGTTGATAAAATGTTGTCCAGTTTTGTCTCGTATTCTACTCTTCGCTCTCTACATATTTCAATCACGTGATGCATGTCCGCTTGTAAGCAGACGACATGTGTTCGTGTATCAGTCAACGCCAATGTTGCAGCGCTTAAAGCGCCTTGCATGTCAGAAATATTTATTGCACTAGCTGTAGTCGTTAAAAGTAGTGTCTTTTGTAACAGAACAGCATGACCGTCATATAAAATAACAGACTTAAATGCATTTCCCGCCTCTTTGGCTTTCCGTGCAATTTTCAGAATGCGTTCTTGCACATCATGATCTTGTTTTAGTTTAGAGGAAAGGTTATATAAGCGTGTAGGAATCCCGTATAATTGCTGAAGATATACAAGTATAGGTATTATCATGCTATAAAAACATCAATTTCAAATGTGAGGTGAGAATAATCTTCCAGATGCCCGAGGATGAGTTTTGACGTTTTGTTTTAAGAGCTTACAATGTCCACTTTATATGTACTACATGTAACTTAAAATATTTCAATTACACCGGAGACAATTACAAGAATACCTAAAAATGAGAAAACTTATTTTCAAATCTTGTGGCTTCATGTGAAAGCATTAACAGTTTACTTTACTGCTATTGATGTGGGTTCTTGGTTTCGATTTTGCTTGTTTGTTATGTATGTTGTTTTTTTCTCGGAGAAGGTGGGTGGGGTTTGTTTTTTTTTTTTTTTTTTTTTTTTTTTTTTTTTGGGGGGGGGGGGGTCTGGTATGTCGTTGGACAAGGCAGCCTGCTTGAAACAGCATACGTATTTTCGAATAGCTCCATTAGACACACTTTCCCAAAACATATCGATGTTCCGCTCTTAAATTCACTGTACTGATCGGGTAAAAGTAATTGAGCACAGTGGGGAGTGTGTTGGGGCGGCGGAGGCGGCGGCGGCGGATGAATCCACATGGATCTCAAAATTGAGCATCGATAAAAATATATGTTCATATTTGCTGATCAACTATAACACCATATGTGAAAGAGACAAGAACCGCCGTTGGAAACAGACAAATGCCCCCAAGCAGGGCCAAGTAGGGGAACTATGACCTTGACTTGTATCAAAGGCATGGTTACTGTGAAAATAGTGTTTCAATAATTAATATAGAAACATTAACAAATAGTTCATCATTTCTCAGTTAGCCCAATTATTTTAAACATTATTTAAATAATCTACAATGTATTCAGTGTAGCAATACTATGTGACCGTGCGTGACGTCATTTTTGGCATCATTTCCAAGACAAATATGCTCACTTCGAAAGAGAAAGTACAACATCGACTATTTTAATGATCGAATCTCAATATGTCCTAGATTCCTTTTATCTGAAAGCAAATTATAGAACTGTTTATGCATATTAGACCGATAACATTGTTTAATAAAAAAGTGTTTACGTACATGTAACTTAATGCAGTGTGGCAATATTGCACTAAGACTCATTTATTTCCGGGAGGTTATTCGTTTGTTTCCGTGATTTTTTATGATTTAAGCTTAACATTTTAATGAAAGTATACATCTCGAAACTTTAACATATATACTGCTTAATGGCTTAGTTGTAAGTGTATGAAACACGAGATGATAATGTATGTGTTTCATTTCTAGCATTTCCAGCATTTTTCTTTTTATAATTATTCAATTTCATCATTTTGAAAATGCAATTTTTTCATTTTATTAAGTTCAGTATGTAAAGTCGTACAATGAGTGACTCGAGTGCATAAGACATAGTGGAAATATGATAAAAAATTATACAAGAAAGCATAAAAAAATCATTACAAATATTGTGCTATATATACAAGCTCGTACTTTGTTTAATGCCACGCAACTTTCATTCTATCTCCACATCCAATTTAAAACAAAAATCTTAGATGGGTTTTTTTTTTCAGTCTATTTAAATATCCTCTATTTTTAAAACGAAAACGAAAAGCAAATAAATAAAAAAATGTATATATACAATATACATGCTAGAAATTAAAATAAAAACTTACGGCGGCCATCTCTGAAGATATGGTTTGTTTATGCTGATCATTTTATTCCTCATTTAATACATGTAGTTGTGTAATAGCTTCCGGTTTCTGCTAACTTAAAATTAAATTTCCCTGGGATTTATTTTTATTTTGCGTCACGCCTAATGACAAACAAAACCCTACACCTAATGTCCTTTTTCGTACATTCGAAACTAAATCAGATTATTAGTTAAATCAATATTTCATTTTAAGAACCAGCACATGTTGTATAAGTTCGATTGACATACATTGATAACGGGTTGAAAAATAAATACTGTCGTATAATGATAAAAACATGTGTTAATGTATAACTTTAAATAAAAAGTAGATAAGAAGCAGTAAGTATGTATGAAAGTAGGGTTTTAAAAAAATTAAAAACACGTTTTATAGCGATGTAAAAAATAGAACTCAAGATTTATGAAATTGTTTTAATATGTTTAATGAACATTTACACATGAATTTTATTGTACAGTATATTGAAAATGGGTATGGGGGCTTTAGTCACGATTGCGGTGAAAATTGTCCTAGTTTCCCTATGCAAATTTCTACCAATTAAAGATCCTGTATCTCAATTTTTTATGGTTTTATATTATAAACATAATGCTTAAATGAAGATTTATCAATATTTTAAGCTCCAAAAATCATAATTTGTAAAGGTATTACCGAATTTACATTTCATGTTAATAAAGGGAGGAAATTAGACATTTATTTTCTATAAAGTGTAAGTCAAATTATTTTCAATAGGAAGTGATTGCATATATTTTAATGATTACAAATAATGTGGACAAATGTTTGCAGAACATTTTTTTACACATTCTTCGATGTTTGAAAATTGTTTTATAAGCATAATTATATACATGTAAAATTTCACTTAAAGGTGGTAATAACCTAAATTACAACAAACATGATCTTTAAAACATTACTTGATTAAACTCGCAGTTATTAATAAAAAATGAACTCAAGGAATGGAGCGTTACTACAATGGCTCAGTATTATATAATTTATGAACATTTAAAGCCATTAATCACCGTGCATATCCAGTAATGCAGGTTTGTTCAAATAACGCAGGAATTGTGCAAAGTAACGCAGAATTGTGCAATTAAGTGGCAAAAACGAGCACTGCGATATGTAAATAGACCAATATTTTTATTGTTCACCAAATTGGAAGAAATGAATTCTCGCATACGGTTACTAAGACATTATACTTTAAACCTCATCAAAAATATTTCCATGAAAATGTTTATTTTTCAAGATCATTTGTGAAAATGACGACCTGACTAGCGTATTAATGGCGATTTTCAGGTTTTTTTTTATATCTTTAAATACATTAACGTACCTTGAACTTTATGATTTTTTATATTCGATGTACCAAAGACATTTTCCAGTCTACTTGTGTCATATTACTCTTAATTTAGCAGATTAAGCAGATTTAACAAGAATGCATTGAGACCATTTTTATGGGGTTACGCCGAATTTGGGAAATGAAGCACTGGAGCAACGGCGGCTATCTCGTTAAAAGTAGCTAATTGTTATTTGACCAATTTCAATTCAATAACAAACCTAAACTCATTTGATAACAAACCTAAACTCATTCGATATTCTCTATTAATGAGCTAAATCAAGGCAAAATATATTTTATACATTACTCGACGTGATAAATTATGGACAGTTTTCTTTAACAAATTCAAATATATGACATTTATTGTATATATTTATGTCACATTGAAAAATAGCAACATATGTCGCTTAGTATAATAAATATTTTAATGCAATACAGTTGAATCTTTGAAATAATTTATATAATTATTTCGGTCTAATCCAAAAACAACATTGTATAAAATAGTGTATATAGCCATTCCATAAGAATCATAAGAGATTAAACATAAAAATATGTTCACAAAAATTTTTAAACAGTGTAAAAAAACAATTTTTTCAACAAAATATAACAATTTTTAAATATTTAGAAAATACTTCAAAGACTGACTGAAAATGGTATAACATTTGTTATTTTTAAGATATCAAATCACATGTCAATTTAACATTTGAATGTCAAACACTGGGAATGTTGTATCTGTACATTGTAAATACATGTCATCATAATAAAGTTGTTACCATTTCAAAAAATAGTAACTACTTACAACATAAATTTTTACTATACAAAGTGTTATTTTAGAATAATATAATAATGAATTAGGGGTTTATGTATTTGTTTCGTGAACAATCAAATGCGGATGAATATTGATTGAAAGTCGTATTGTGGTTAAACAACACTTAAACGAAAAACTTAAATGATTCATCACGATCTTACAAGGAAACAAAAAAATAGTAAATTTAAAGTGAATTTATATTTTACTTAAAGGTTGCCATGAATTTTAACAAATATACATAAACAACAAACCAATACGTTAAAGGTTCTTTTAAGAAAACACAATGTTTTCAATATATGAGTTTTACCACCAATAGAGTCAATATATCATTCCCTATATGAAATACATATGTGGCGTCGTAATTATCCTGGTAGTTAAATGGGTCATTTTAAAAAAATTACGCAGCATAAAATAAAAATAAGAGCATAAAATTAATATGAATACGCGATAGTTGAATAAACATGTATCAGGAAATTGAGCATACTTCATCGTGTAAACTAACATAAATAAAAGTAAAATGTTTGATGATATATATAAATTTTCCCCGCCGGAAGTAAACCAAGAAGGTAAAGGCCATCTACACAAGTGCTGCATTTGCCCCGTATTGTGTCAGTATGTCTACAAGTCGCTGCCATTTATCCTACAAAAAAATTCGAGCCAATGTTTTATAATCGTATTACATATAAATAAAGAAAAAAATTAATGAAAATATTTAGTAATTTCCTAGTATTATACAACACAGTTATTATTATTTACTATATAGATAGTAATTACATATATTTTATGGTATATATTGTCTTTTAAGGTGTGAGTATAAAACATGTGTATAAAACAGCAGCGGCGGTCTTGTTGCACATCATTAGCCAGCTTTTTGAAAAGTCAGGAATGACATTAGTCATCAAAATTGAACCGTCATATATATTTACCAAAATAATGTAGATACAAACCGTTAAATGAAACATCATATTTGAAAAGTAGATTAATGATTTTTCAATACAGCCAATATACATTAATTTGTCAAATGTTTGAATCAACATATGAATAAATATAACTAAAAGCTGTACGTAAAATAGTGTAAAAAAATTGTGTACCTTAAGTGTATTCAGATGAACCTGAGAACTTTTATCTAACTTCTCCGGATGACGGGCAAATGCGTTCTGTATGATCTCAAACGAGTTGCCATGGAGATCTGCATCTTTCAGCGCTGTGTCCATATTCTAACACAGAGAGGAAAATCAATGTTTTAAATGTAATATTCATAAAAATGAAGATTCCAATATTCTTTGATTGAACGCCATTTTATAACTAATTCATACGAAAAGTTTCTGCATCGTAAACATTTTCTTTACAGTAGAACATACATAAGATGTTACCATGACTACGGCATTTTTCAGCAATGACAAGGCAACTAGTATTCTAAATATTCGTCATATTCCTCGATGCCTGCCTTTGTGTACATAACTTTTCAGGGAAGAAAGTGTGTAAGCCATCATAAAGCTCAGATTTTATTTTTGAATACATCACTATTGCTTGTAGTGGTATAAAGATATTAAAATCATACAACCAACCTCGATAGCTAACATCAGATCAGTTATAACTATTGTAGATGACCGAAGGTATCCGCTTACAGCTTGAAGTCCACTTTCTGCGTCTCGAAGTTCATCTGACAATAATGAAAAATGTAATTAAAGCGTTTGAAAATCTTCTTTTTAGAAACAATAAATTAAACACTTTTGTAATAAACAGTGTATTAAATGAAACCAAATTACTAAAAACCTGTGTTTTAAAAACGTGCACACCATTTAGAGGTAAACTTCTGTATCTAACCTTAAATAAGTATGACTCGACTCAATTTTAGATACATAGATACATACCCATACTTGTTTCAAGTTTTCTAATTTCGAAGAGTAATTTATTTTTTTCTGCTACAAGTGTGTCTCGTTCTGTTCTAAGTCTCTGAGCCTCTTGTCGTTTAGACTCCAACGTCGAGCATTTCTATTTAAGTCGTTTGCGTCATTCAGATTAATTCCAGCTGTTCCCGCGCCAATTGCGAGACTGGCCCCGCCTAAAATAATAAAATAATTATTGTTTTTAACCTTTTTTGCAAAACAAATTATTTATTATTCTAACACGTCCCACATGTTTCCCTATTGAATATAGAAGAACCGAATAGGCCACTAAAGTTATGAGTATATGTAGCTTGACATCAAACAAATTCCAACACAAGCTTTCTTTAGTATTTTGCAATCAATATATATGCATGGACCTTGTAGTAAAACCCTAAAAAAATATACCTTCGGAAACTTGACTTTTGGCAGGTAGTTTACAGGTACCTGTCCAGGCATAAAAATCGTAATATAATATCGTAATATGTTTAATATATATGTGGCGACTGTCTTGTCTTTCTCTGTTATAGATTGGTAGTTTTTTTAGCCAGCATGTATTGGTGTTCATAAAAATAGAATTTGCAATGAATAATAACAGGTTTGGCCTCTTTTTTATTATTTATTCACTTGTGACACACAAGATTATTACCCCACCCACACATAATAATAATGCAAAACGTTCAAATTGCATTATCTTAAAAATACTTAATATTTACAATTGGAAAGAGGTTCAAATTATATTTATATCACATAAGCTTATATAAATAATGAAACATAATCATTTAAGACATTTTAAAAGCAAAATGTAACATACGTTACATCAATTACATTGACATTATTCTAGCATTTTTTAACTATTTTGGAAAAATTTATGAAAATAAAGAAAACAAACTTAGTTACAACAAACAATGCATCTGGTAATATACTCAATTTCTGAAAGTAACTCGTTAATTAGTCTTTTGCTGTGTCATTTAACATATTTGTACGTTACCAAAGTCTCATCCATCCAAATGTTAACCATAAATGTTATGCAAACTATCACTTTTAATATGATTTAGTAGAAATAACTTCATTTATCATCGCCAGGATTGTCGAACTATCTATATTGCACAACACTTAAGTTAGTGAAGAATAAATACTGAAAATGAGCTGTAGTTATGTCTTTAGTAATGGTTCAAAATTAGA